GGCCAGGGCAGTGAGCCAAAAGGTGTACTGAAAGTTACAAGAAACATGCAGATAGTTAACGTAGTCCCTTAAGAACTAAAAAGCATTGTAAGTAGGTGAAAACTCACTGTCATCAATGTCCATGCTGATTCATAGTGATCCCCTGTGGGTTTCTGAGGCTGTAACTTATTTATGGGAGTAGAAAGTCCAGACTTTCTTCTGAGGAGCTGCTGATAGTCTCTTCAATACTGGAGGGTGCCATCTAAAGTTGGATTGGCCCACAGGAGTCAAGCAGATAGCAAAACTGAATTCAGTTGGGCAAGTGATCCAAAATAAAAAGTGCTAGCTTGGCAACTGGCACAGACAGGGTTTTGGTACCAAAGAGATGATAGGAAATAGTGTGGGATTTGCCAAACTTGAGAATGAACTTGCTCTGTCTAAAGGAGGCAGCCAAAGTTAAATGAATTAGTAAACAAAATGGAGAAAAATTAAGAACCAAGAAATTGTAAACTCAAAGCTTCTGCCAAACGAGAATGATGCTCTGAAGGTTTCCCAAAATGTAGAGCTGTGTCCTGCCTTAAGAATCCCAAAAGTCAGCTACAAGCTTCTTAAAAGTGGAAAGGCCAGTGTAGCACAAGGAGTCGTAACAGGAAACCTTTTCAGTGGTTCTCAACCTTCCTAATGCCTCGACCCTTTAATACAGTTCATGTAGTGGTGAACCCCCCCACCATAAAATTATTTTCATTACTACTTCATAACTGTAATTTTGCTACTGTTATGAATCGGGTGACCCCCGTGAAAGGGTCGTTTGACCCCCAAAGGAGTCGAGACCCATTGTTTAACAAAGAAGTCTGGTCTTACTGCTCCGCCTACTTGCTCAACCCTCCCTTCCTCTTAGGGGAGATCAGTCACCCTCACAGTCCACACAACAAGACCACTGATCTCACACACATTTTCTCTACTGTAAGACTGCCACAATCTCGAGGCCACCACCCAACTCCAATTAAGAAAAAACAAAAACACTAAAAAGTCCTACAAAAAAAATCTTTGCAGGCTGAATAAGGGACTGTCAGTTTACAAGTCCTAGATAGATCTGGAACAGAAGGGAGTCAGTCCTCAACCTGTCACAAGAGGTTCTTTCAAGAGGTTATCCAGGGTTCTAGATCACTAGGGTGTAAGGAACTCTAGGGATAACAAATGCACCCAACATGGCTCCTCTTGACTTTACCATCTACAGTAGTTGTCTGCCAGCCAGGACCTCAGTGCTGTGTGCCACCCACATCTAATTCCTGGCTCAGCTGTACCTCATTCCCACATACCACCCCTTTCTTATTTTAATGAAAGTTAATGGAGGTTCAGCAGTTTGGTTCCAAAGTGGGGGAACCTTTAAAACCCTTCCTCTTGGATATCACAACTAAAAATTCTACTTTGCCAAAAAGCAAAGTTGCCCCATTACTGTTACATATCCTTGAGAGTAAAGGATGTGATGCTAAATGTCTGCATTCCCTAAATCAGGACAGCAGTCCCCATGCTTCACTCCACTCCATCTTTATCCTATCGTCTCCAGATTCCCTCACATTTCCATAAAAGCAATTAACACCTTTGCCAAACAGAACTGGGGGGGAAAACCTAGCTGCCCTCAAAATAGTAACTCAATCCAAGGAGGGAAGGTTTATTGCTGGAAAAACTTTATTTACCAGGTCCCCCAGACTAGATTTATGAGCAGAAAAAACAAAAACACACAACAAAAATAGGCTTTAGTAAGAGGCAGTCTTACAGCAGTGAGTAGTAGCATGGTATGAAAGAGGGTAAAAACTCTTCTGGGGAATTACAGATCCGATAGGCCCACTATGGGCAAAATAGACTCTGTCTCAAAGATATGCCTGTCTGAGTCTACTCGTTTAACACCCACCATATCTTGTACTATGCCATCACATGGCAACCGCTCAAATGGTCACATATAAACAGGATTCTCATCTTGAAAAAGGTCTTGCACATACATCACACAGAATAGGTTAGTGGTGGAATGGAAAGAGCAAAGAGGCTTTGCAAGAAAGTGGGTTATGGGTTCAAATGCAGGCTTGCTATGTTATGTGGTCTTGAGCAAATCACCCAACCTTTCTCACTATAGTGGAATATTACCTAGTTTATAGGGTTGTCATGAGGATTACATACTGTGCTCTAAATACAATTACCAGAAAAGAGAGCACAGAGAAAGATATTAAACACACTCAGCCAAGACCAGAGCACAGAAACTCTATAGGAAAAACCACCTGGCTTCAACAACAAATAAACTACAAGGGGGAAAAAAAAATAGAAGGGCACTTTGTGAATCCTTAAACAAACAGTAAGAGTATGAAGCTGATGAGATAAAACTGGAAATTTGAACATAATCTAGGTTTTGATATTAAGGAATTTTTTAAATTCTGCAAGATTTGACATGGGCATTGTAGTTGTGTTTTTTTAAGTAATCTTGTAGCAATACATAGTGAAATATTTAAAGGCAAAATAGGATATCTGAGGATTTTCTTCAAAGCACAGGAGGAGAACTAGGGCAAGGCACAAATGAAGGACGTTTGGCTATGACATAGTAGCTGTGGATGCTGAGCCATGGTTATCCTTCTGCTTCATCAACCTCGTTTTTCTACTTTTGTAAGTTTGAAATTTTCCATATTAACAATATAGAGAAAATGGCTTCTGTAAAACTTGAATAGAAAAATAAACTAAACATTGAAAATAGACAGCAAAAATTCTCCAACCATTTAAATCATGCAATTAAAATTGATTACTTATAAATATCAACTTTGGATCACTGTATAGACTGTTAAATTTGATTTTTTTAAAATTACCTATTGTTAAATAAACTGTGTCATACAGGGAAAATAAAGAAAGACAATGGTTAGGTGCAAAGCCTGCCAATTCCATGGCTTGTTTCTGAACGAACCTCCCATCTCAGTTTCCTATCTGAATGATGGGAACTCAACAGAACCTACATCTTAGGGCTGACGTGAGAATTTCGTAAGATTATATATACACATGTATGTGCACGCACAAGTGTGTGTGTAAAGTATATATAAAAAGCTTGGCACACACAATCTTCACTAAATAATAACTTGTCAGTCTAAATGCAAAGGATGTTGCTTTAAAACAGCAATTCACTGTGAACTATTAATATGAAAGGCACAGCTAGGTTAGAATCCAGGTTAGATTTTTAATCCTGTATTTGACTAGTCTCCTCCGTGGAGAGCCTAGACACCCTCTGGTCAGTCACCAGCGGCAGCTCAAACACTCCCAGCCCCTCCTAACACCCTGGCCTGTCACACAGGATCAGGAACTGACTAATGTTTGTTATGAAAGTACTGCTCTCTGGGAACAGGGATAGCCACCTGATTTCCCCCAACCAGGTAATTTAAGGTACATTTTCTAATACTTGCTGACAGAACAAAGAGAAAAGGCTCTAAGACATGATCAATGTTCATGCCAGCCTTCAAAGTGCTTTGGTAAAACTACAGAAAATAAACACCCAGCTAGGGTCCGCTGGCAGGATAAAAGCTGACCAAGAAACGGCAATTTTTCCCTGAGCAAATATACGAGTAATAAATGAGCTCTGAGACACCAAAACTCTAGGTTTGGTGCATTCTTCCCTCACCTTCCATTTTAACAGAAGACAAATTCTCTTTCCAGTAGAGCTATTTGCCAGATTAATTTTCTTTTCTGAAATGATTTAATTATAGGCAAGGAGGTCATTCTCAATCTTTTATCTAGGTAAAAAAAAAAAAGGTGGCTTAGGAAAGGCAAAGTCTTTTTCACCTGCTCTAGCACACAATGAGAAGGTGTCACCTACCCCCAACTAGCTCTGCGCATTAGCGGGAGTATGGATGCCACCTGGTCTGGTCACTGATCTGTATCTCTGCTCAGGTTGTTCCCATTACACAGAATGGCATCCCTATCTATTCAGTCTATATCTCCTTCCTGTGATACCTTCTAGAAGTGAGGAGGCAAGGTGAGGTGAGAAAAGCACACAGCAACTGAGAAAAAGTACCTGGGCTGGCTTTGGGGAAGTCTGGGTGATATAGACCAGACATAGAAATATAAAGGGACTTCAAAAAGTTTGTGGGAAAATTCCATTATTCCACAAGTTTTTTGATGCCCCTTATATAATTAGCATTTCATAATTTGTGAGCAGACTTTGACAGAGGATTAGAAATTAGGATGATCCTGAACAACTCTGGTCACCATCTTCATCCTACCAGGCTCAGCTCAAAAGTTAATTCTTCCATAAATGCTCCCTGGGTACCATGCCTGCTACACACACTCTTACAAAGGAAGGGATTTCTGCCTTCTCTGAATCCCCAATTACTCTTTATGTTATTTATGTATTTGCTACCCAAGAGTTCCTATTATGGTTTTAAAAATCCCTACCTATAACTACAATCCAACACCCATTACCCCTCCCCAAAAAAACACCCCACCCACTGTCATCATCAAGCCAACTCTGTCTCATAGAGACCTTCTAGAACAGCGGTTCTCAACCTGTGGGTCGAGACCCCTTTGGGGATCGAATGACCCTTTCATAGGGGTTGCCCAATTCGTAACAGTAGCAAAATTAGTTATGAAGTAGCAACAAAAATAATTTTATGGTTGACAGGTCACCACAACATGAGGAACTGTATGAAAGGGTTGAGGCATTAGGAAAGTTGAGAACCACTGTTCTAGGGTGAGGCTGTAAATCTTTACAACAGCAGAAAGCTTCATCTTTCTCCCCAGGAGTGGCTAGTGGGTTTGACTCTGCCATTAGCAGTGCCACCATGGCTCCTAGCATACCAACCAGAAAGGTTTAAAGTGAAAAAAGACAAGTAAAAATGTAAAAGAAAGCAAGAACCGAACATTAACAAGGATGTCAAGCAAGAGGAATTCTCTTATATACCAATGGTGAGAGGGTGAATAAATAATATGCTTTTGAAAACTGCCTGGAAGTGACTATTTCCTACAAACTGAGTATTAAGATGGGGAACACTCACTTTTATTCTTCCATACTTCCATCCGTCTTTCTCCCAGTCCTAACAGCTAAATCTTCCCTATCACACCAGGTCAAAGAAATTTCTTCTCTCCTAAGGAAAAATGCCCAATTATTCAATGGTTATTCACATAAGAACTGTAGTATCTGACTTTACAGTGTACTTTTAGTAACATTATCTCATTTGTTCCTCACAATAACATTTGAGGAATGCAAGATTCAGAGTATTAATTCCATTTTATAGAAGAAAAAGATGGAGATTTGGGTGGGAAAGTGATTTATTCTAGCTTACTTGGCCTTATTAGTGCCAAGGAACAATAGTAGACCTCGGTCTCTAAGTCAAAACCTCTATAACCAACTGCCATATCATAAGTTCCATCTTCATGATCTTATTAGCATGTCTCCCCCAAAAGATTGTATGCTCCCTGAAAGCAAGTATCCACTCTATCAAACTAACTGGTCTGAAAGACACTAGTGAAACCCCAGAGTAGATGACCCTTACTCAGTCACTGCCATCCAGCTGACCCTAAAAGGCAGGGTACAAGTGTCCCAGTGAGTTTTGGAGACTAACTCTACAGTAGTAGAAAGCCCTGTTTTTCTTGAGAGAAGTAACTGTTTTGACCATAGCAGTCTAAAACGTAACCTCTATGCCACCCTTCAAACTCAGAACTGAGCTTACCCACAAACAATAGGCAGGCTTATAAAGTGAACAATAACACTCATGAGGAATGTGCTCCTCAGATCATTCAGCTACAGGAGCCCAAAAGGGCAGCCTTTTCCTGAAAGCAAAATTCAGAAGGCAAGAAAGCTGGGTAAATAGAAATGAACACCCAGGATGGAAGGGGGCAGAATGCTGACACACTGGGGGATTGCAACCAGTCATGAAATAATCTATGTCTAAATGACTGAATGGGGAATTAATCTGTTTTATAAGCTTTCACTCAAGCCACAATGAAATGTTCAAGTAAATTAAAAACTCTGAAAGCACTACAACCTCCAAAAGGGGGTAGAGGTAGGCACGTTACACTTCTATATCCCTCACCACACCAAATAAGGCACTTAGGGCCCCAAACGGGTCAGTTAATTTATTCTGATATTATCCCCTGCAAATAATGCTAACTTGTTGGGAGAAATCATGAACACAACCTATTATCCCAAATGACAGTTCTCTTTAAAGGGAAGGAAGGAATATCCCCTCCATCTCCTAGGACTCCAGGCTGCAAAGTGTTCAAAAAGCCGTGACAATGGGCTTCAAGAACTTAACTTAATCACAGCAAGTCTCAGAGTGATCAAATGCCAGAAACCACACCTCAAATAATTCTACTAGAAAGCAAGACAGAGCATTTTTATTATTTCAAAACTGAGTATAATAAAATTTCAAATAATTCAATATGAAACTTTATTTTCTTCAATCCTAAATAAAAAGCTAGACAATAACAAGTCTCTCTGGAAGCCAGCCCAAGAACGGATGTGAGGAGAATAGGAAGGGAAGAGGCAGATGTCTGGATATCCAAACCTGAAGGGCAACGTCATCTCCCTACCCTGATGCTCTTGATTTTACATACAGGTGTTGAACACCTCAACAATTTATCTTAGAAGAGAAATACCTGCAGAATGAGCAGAAGAAATGGAAGAGCGAGGGGAGGCAAAAAAAAAAAATCTAAACAACATGGGAGCCAGATATTCAAACTGGTCTCCCTGCCCAGTGAGTGATAAAGTCATCGGCATCAGCTATGCTATCTCCATCCTGAACTCTCACCCCAAATATCTGGGCCAGGGCAAGAGGAATAGGAGCTCTCTGGAAGGTTACATGAGGGGTTGCCAATCACAAGGTCCATGGCTCAAACCCACCAGCCACATGGAAGAAAGATGAGGCCTTCTCCTCCCATAAAGATGTCAAGTCTTAGAAACCCACAGAAGCAGTTCTACCCAGTCCTGTAAGGTCACTGAGCCAGAACCCACGTGATGGCACTGAGTTTTGAGTCTGAGGATGTTTCACTCATCTGTCTCCCTCACAAGACTGGGAGTAACCTCAGGACAGGAATCATATCTGATTTGTTTTTATGTGAATACAAAGCCAGAGCACATAGTAAAACCAAAAAAACCCCAAACCTGTGTCAAATTCTGACTCATATAGCTGCCCAGCAAGGCAAACCAAAATTACCTCATTGTGTTTCCAAGGCTGCCAAAATCTTTGGGAAACAGACTGACACATCTTTCTCTGGGACAGTGGCCCCTGGTGTCGAACTGCTGTTAACCTTTTTGGTTAGCAGCTGTGTCCTTTAACTACTGTGTCACCAGAGCTCCTGAACATATACACAGTAGATTCTCAAATTTCCTGGGATGAATGGTTGAGCTTAAGAACAGTTGGCTATTCTTTCAACTATACATAAATAGAATTTCAGTGGCTAGATAAACTGCTTAGCATGGCAACTCTACCCAAAACCATAATTTTAATAAAGGTAGATGTTAATTGGTGTGAAAGTCAATTTAGGGTGAGTCTTTAAGGTTTTTAAAGAGAAGCGATCATTATTAGAGTGGTACCAGTGCTTCCCAGTGCCAGTCAAGAAAGGCTTACAGCTAGCTATCTGAAAGAACCAAGTTCCAAAGCCTTCAAATGAGCTGTGTAAGGCAAGGAACGTTTTGAGTTCCTGCTACAGAGTGATCATACCTTCCAAAAAGAAAGCCCAGACCTAGAGAAACAGAGTTATGGAAATGACCCTTTTAAATTCACTGCTAGGCTTGCTCCACTCGCACAAAGAATTATAAAGTAAACTAGACAAACAGATGAACAGACACCAGGCAAACAGTACCTTTAGAAGAGCTTACTGAAATCCTTAATAAAACAAATAAACAGGAGACAGCTAAATATCAGATAAGTGCCTTTGCAATAAAAAACAACCTAGCCAATACATTAAGCTTTTAAACTTGGCCTTCTAAAAAAGAATACTTACTTGGAATACAGCAATGATTCTTACTTTGATAAAGAGAACTAGTCAGTATCTATAGATGGCATTTCAAGGGCCAAGTCCCTTACCTCTTCTCCTTGAGTCTAAGGGAATGCAAGCTACTGGACACGTGTGCTTCTCCAACTTTAGTATACAGTCCTATGTAGGAGTCTCAGAGTGCCCTTTTATTTTTCCTTTATTATATGACTTTAAACAGTTGGCTCCATATTGGCTCCATATTTAAATCTAATTTTATATAGTCTTGGACTCCAAGTCTGTCCCATGGGAATTACAGTTCCAAGTTTATAATGGAATTCAGCAGACAATGTGATAAATTCATCTCACAAGCAATTTTTTTGACATTCCATCCATTCTAAAGGGCACAATCAACTTGTTTATTTCCTGAAAGTTATCTGTGAACCCAGAATTTAATCTTGAGATAACCTCAATACTCTAGCAAAGTCCTTTAATTTTTGCAGGGATGAATTCTTAAGTCACTTCTATAAAAACCTGGTTCACAGGCTGTTAAGAGGTAGAGATATCATTGAAATTATCTAGTCTCACTCTACTGTTTTACAGATAGGAAGGCAAGGGTCCCTGGAAATATTCGGTAGATACATAAGAGCTTCCCAAAGTGGAAAAATGGAATTAAAAGAAAACAGAATTCTTCCACTAACTTTTTGAACCCTTTCATACAATTACCATGCATATGCAAACATTGAAAGCCTACTGAATGAGCTCTGTTTCTCTGGGGGAGAAATGCACTGGGTGTGTTGGGACGGTGGCCAGGTTTGTACTTTAGTCAGAGAAGTACTCCTAATGCAAATGTTCAAGCCACAGGATACAGTTATGCAGCCACAGACCGCCCTTCCCACCACAGCAGAGGGCAAGATGCGGTGGAAAGTCTGGCTAGCTTTTCTGAAGATGGAGACAATAGCCCACCCTCCTTTTTCCCTTTCTCCTAGGAGGTACAGCATGTTAATTAAGCATGTTTATTGCCATGATAGCTATTATAAAGTGACAGGCACAAACACACTAAAAACAAGAGCTGTAGAAACAAAAACATTAGCATTGTTGTGGTTAGCTGTCATCAGGTGGTAACCCTGTAGATTAGACAGAACAGAGCCACAGGGTTTTCAAGGCTGTGCCTTTTTCAGGAGCAGAGCATGAGGCCTGTCTCCCCAGTCACCTTTGGGTGGGTCGCCCCATTATCAGGCAAGAGCTGAAGTAAACTAAACTGGTGCTGCCACCAGGAACCTTTTAACAAGGGTACTGGAGCAGATCCCAGTCTCCTGTCTCTACTCATGTCATCGGCAGGGGCAGGGAGGTGGTATGTAGAGTGGGACCTCTAACAACTACTCCCATGCCCAATCCTCTGGCCTTTTCTGGAACTTTAGAAACACTGAAGGTTATTTTATGAAGAAAATGAGCACAAGAAAAGGGGTTGGCCAAAACCACCAGAATAGCAAGGACCAACTGTGTGACCCTCAGACTCACACTAAGACTTCCAATATACCCCACTGTCCCCTCTCTTCTCTGTTGTCCTGTGGCTTTGCGTTATACCCAGAAATGGGTAGGAAACTTTCTCTATAGCTCCCAGGAGGTAATTATAGAACAAGCAGGCTGGCATGACACCATTGCTCTTGATAGAATTCCAATGCCTGATGACCCTAGGATAGACAAGTGTTTAATAATTACATCACCTGGCTAAACCAGGTCATGTCAACACTAGTTTTGGAAAGGAGGTCGTACTCTTTAGAGAAACGAACTGTCACTCAAAAATTACTCAGCCATAGATTTGAACTACTAACCTTTAAGTTAGCAACCAAGTGCTTAACCCCTGCACCAGAACTCCTTAGGCTGAAAGTTTTTTGTGTTTTTTTTAAAACATTTTATTAGAGGCTCATACAACTGTTATCGCAATCCATACACACATCAATTGTGTAAAGCGCATTTGCTCATCATCCTCAAAACATTTTCCTCTCCATTTAAACCCCCGACATTAGGTCCTCATTTTTCCCCTCCCTCCCCACTCCCCCCCAAACTATCATTTTCTGTGTGAAAGAAAACCACATTCCATGATCACTGACTCTGTCCCCACGAGTCTTCATTACAAAGGGAAAAAGAAAA